TATGCTCCTATTGATGCTCCTACAAATGCAGGCATGCAGCTTCTTCCTGTCTTGTCTTCTGCAACAACAATGGTTAAATCAATGTGGGATTTGAAGAACATCCCCCAGCCAGGAAAGTGTATTTAAATTTTAATTTAGGAAGGAGAGCCAGAGTACATCAGGTTAGCAATGGTAGGCACCTTGATGCAGTATCAAAGACAAAAGAGAAACACCCAGGTTGGATTTCTGAGTGAAGGGATACTGTTGGTTTTGAAATTAAGAGGCTTAGAGTATGGGACTTCCCGCGAGTGGTGGTGGTTGTTGTTGTTGTTGTTGTTCTTCTTCTTCTTCTTCTTCTTCTTCTTCTTCTTCTTCTTCTTCTTATTATTATTATTATTATTATTATTATTAACATTATTCATATCCCATCTTTCTCCCCATGGGGACTCAAGGTGACTAACAATCCATACTAGACAAGTTTAAAAAGTACAATACAAAAGTTTAAAAACCATTAAATAGTAACAGTATGGTAAAAAAACAAAACAAAATTAAAATACAACAAATAGGTTAGGTGACTAACATTAGGTTAGTCACCTAATGTGCTGTATTAGATACAGGTTGAACATCCCTTAACAGAAATTCTGAAATCCGATATATGAGGGTTATCCAGAAAGTAAGGTCATAAGACACATAGCTCTCATGGGGAATTTTTTTGGGGGAAAGTTGGTATCACTGCCTTGTAGCGGGAAGCCAGCGGAAGCGAACGAGCAGTGCCAGTCATCAGTAGCTCATCAACTGGCGTTGTGGTGAAGGTTAGAGATGACTGTCCTCATTCAGTTTCCTTCCAAGTGTGAAGTTTGTGCTGTAATACACTACATAAATGTCAAGGGCATGAACGCAGTGGCGATTTATTGAGAAATTGTTTCAGTTTATGGAGAGGACATAATGTCAAGACAGCATGTGACAGAATGGGTGCGGAATATCTTGTGAGACTATGAAGAAACTTCAAAGAGACATCCAAAACAAATGTTGTGTCGTGGGATGCTGACGGCAGGAGCCTGTCTCCTTAATGACAATGCGCGTCTGGACACCACTCATCATAGAATCATAGAATCAAAGAGTTGGAAGAGACCTCATGGGCCATCCAGTCCAACTCCTTTTTGCCAAGAAGCAGGAATATTGCATTCAAATCACCCCTGACAGATGGCCATCCAGCCTCTGTTTAAAAGCTTCCAAAGAAGGAGCCTCCACCACACCCTGGGGCAGAGAGTTCCACTGCTGATCGGCTCTCACAGTCAGGAAGTTCTTCCTCATGTTCAGATGGAATCTCCTCTCTTGTAGTTTGAAGCCATTGTTCTGCGTCCTAGTCTCCAGGGAAGCAGAAAACAAGCTTGCTCCCTCCTCCCTGGGGCTTCCTCTCACATATTGATACATGGCTATCATGTCTCCTCTTAGCCTTCTCTTCTTCAGGCTAAACATGCCCATGAGTGGTTGACTTAATTTGGTTGGGATGTTTGAAGCCACCCATCTCACAGCCCCGATCTCGCACCCAGTGACTATCATCTGCTCGCTAAATTGAAGGAACACCTTGATAGAAAACATTTGGAGGTGAAAGTCGAAGCAATGAACTGGCTGAAAAAGGTGGAGGGAAACTTCTATGACATAGGCATCAAAAACTTGTCCTATGGATGACAAAATGTATTGAACTGAATGGTGATTATGTGGAAAAATAATGTAATACCAATGCTACAATATATTCATATTTGTAGAGAAGTGTTTATTATAAAGGGTTTAATGTACTGTGTTTAAACTGTATTTATGTTTTACATGCGTGGCCATGGCCTAGCTGTGAGAGATAGGTTGCCATGGTGACAAGGCAGAAGAGAAGGTGGGCGGAGCTTAAGGAGAAAAAGGTTTGAAAGTAACAGTTAATAGTCAGTCAGGAGGATGAGACCCTGAGAAGAGGAGCGGAGTCAGTTAGGGCTCTGTGTGGTGAAGCAGTATAAATTCAGTTAGTTCTTAGCATTTGTGAATATTTCTTCAGCAAGGGAGCTGAAGGTGAAACCTTGTTAGATTGCTTGTGTTAAAAAGAATCTAACAAAGGGGGTTTTAGGGATCCCAGTAGTGAAAGACTGGAGATCGGTGGTTTGATCCGGTATAGGACAAACAGAGTGAATATTCACAACAGGGAACACTGAAATAATAAAGTACTTCACTGAAGAAGGAGTTTAAAGGATTGTAACATCAGAAGCCTGAATGTATCTCTACCAAGCCATATTGTAACCATCAAGCTTGTGCCAAGTTCAACATCTTAGTATTGCAACAATTACGCTCTGTTAACAATAAACTTGTTCTCTCTGTGTTATAAATCTGCCTCCTCCATTGATTTTACATTTGGTGCAATCCACTCTACCAAAGTTGCCTCACAACGCAGATAGGGATAAACAGAGACTTCAATTCCAATGTCTCTATATATATAATGGTGGCGGTGTAATCAAGCAGTTTTGGGACTTCCTTATAATTTATGCTGAAATTAGGTGGATCAACATACATATTTACTTAATTTTGGTAATCCCATTTAGGTGGGATTACGCTTCCTTACAATATTCATTCTTTGTATTTTAAAAAAAATATTGTAATCTTACTTTCCAGATAACCCTTGTACTTCAAAATTGCTGCATGGATGGCTGAGATAGTGACACCTGTATGTTCTGATCCACAAACTTTGCTTTATGTACACAGTTGTTGAAAATGTTGTGTTTAACACCATCTTCTGGCTGTGCGTAAGGCATCTATGGAATAGGTTTAGACTTCGATCCCATCTTCAAGAGATCTCCTATATGCAAATGTGTGTATTCCAAAATCCGAAATGGCTCTGGTGCTAAGCATTTTGGATAAAGGATACTCAACCTGCACTATGTTTACAAAGGCCTCAGAGTTGTACCATTGCCCTGGCCTTGGTTTTTCGTAAGTACTGGTGGTGTCTCAGCATGGTTTGAATTTAAGCCCGCGTATGTCGGTAATATATGTAACTAAATCGGGCTACTTCCACAAGTTCAAGTGTGGAGAAGTAGAGGGAGGAGGCATTAGGCTGCCTCTTGCCTTCAGAACCGCAGATGGGAATCCTGAGTAAATGAACTCAATCCAGCGTGTTTTCTTTGGCGGCTTCCATGTTTTATTATCTCATGTAACGGGATCTCTCTTGGTTTGTCAACATTCTGCCGAGGACAGAAAGTTCACGGCTGTGAGAGCCCGCCTATCAGATGAGACGACGATTAGAGCCATGATGTAATGACCCTCTCCTTTTCCTTCCATCAATATTTGCCCTTTGGGGTCGGAGTATTGGAATATGGGCTTCAAAAGGGGGTCCCCTTTCTTCTTCCCTTTTGCAGCTATGTGGCTCCTGTTGCTCGTAATATTAAAGCTGTTTGTGTAAGGCTTTCCACCGAAGCCGTTCTAAGCCTGGCCCGTCAGCTTCTCCCCTAAGTAGCCTTCTCCGCTTGTGATAACAAGGTGACGTGATTGTGTAGGTGCTTTTTTGGAGGTGAGCCGTTTCCTCGTCAGCCTTGGAGTCCGACTCCAGCGTTCGAAAGCGCTGTGGAATGTATCCCGAGCTGTGGGACCCGAGTGCCTTCTTCCCCCTCATATGTTTTATTTTTACTCTCAGCAGGCCGTTTTGGTGAGAATGAGGTTTCGGAGGCTGTGTCCAAAGGTCCACCACTTCCTTTCTTTTCTTAGCACAATCAAATGCAAGAACTTGCTGCTTTTGTACAACTGTTATCCTTGAGAAAGGCTTTTCATGGAATCATAGAATCATAGAGTTAGAAGAGACCTTGTGGGCCGTCCAACCCCCGGCCAAGAAGCAGGAAAATCGCATTCAAAGAAACCCGGACAGATAGCCATCGAGTCTCCAAAAAAGAGCCTCCACCACACTCTGGGGCAGAGAGTTCCACTGCTGAACAGCTCTCAGCTGACCTGGCTTTTAGGCACCAACATGCGATGCTGATTCTTTTACTTTTATTTCAGTCTTGACATCGTAGCTGCAAGTTGCACCCAAAGTAGTTGGGTGCAACTCCTGCTGAATGTTGAACATAGAACCATGCTCGAGGACCCAGAAATGCCTAAATAGAACACTTATTTGGAGGGATTGGCCATAGAATCACACTTGGAAGATGAAGATATGCCTAAAGAAGTGTTGTGTCAAGTTAAAAAAAACTTAGATGTACATTAACCCTTCCATCACCAACTGCTAGGTCTACCACCACCAAACACCATCAGCTGCAGAACATGATACATGACAGAATATTACATTGGCCTGGTTTCCAAAAGCCTGCTCCCAGAGCCAGGTTTTGACTCTTTCCCTAAAGGCTAATAGGGAGGGGGCTGCACTGATGTCACTAGGGAGGGAGTTCCACAACCGAGGGGCCACCACTGAGAAGGCCCTGTCTCTTGTCCCTACCAGCCACACTTGTGAGGCTGGTGGGATCGAGAGGAGGGCCTCCTCAGATGATCAAGATGGATGGATGTTATCCTTGAAGCGAGTGGCATGACCTTGAAGGAGCTGGGGGTGGTCACGGCCGAAAGGGAGCTCTGGCGTGGGCTGGTCCAGGAGGTCATATACAAATAATTGTTGTTTATTTGTTATTTGTTATTCTTAAAGAAGCCTGCTTCAATCTTTGCTTGCTTGAAGCATCAAATAAACTCAAGGAATACTTCTCTCAAACTTTGCTACCTAACAGGTTGTGATCCAGCCATTATCCCCAATTAAAAATATAATAAACATTTGGGCTCATCTAAAATATGTAAACGTGACAGTTGAGAGCTTGAATGAATGAATCCCAATAAAGTTAACCCAGAGCAAGATTGAATGGCAAGTGTTCAATTGTTGTACCCTCTGCCTCTCCCATCTTGAAGAATCTCAAACGTCTTGCACCCAACAAGTCTGTATGGTTATGCTTTGTTTGCCATTGCTGCTTTTCCATGACACTTGTCTGACAATCCGCCTCTTTCCATCATTGCAGGTAACTTCGAAGTGGGCGTTCACATTGCAGATGTGAGTTATTTTGTGCTGGAAGGAACAGAACTGGATGAATTGGCGAGCAAGAGAGCAACCAGCGTCTACCTTGTGCAGAAGGTGAGAAGAAGGTTGGACTCTCACTTGCTGAGGTTATTTATTTATCTTGTCAGGGGCAACCAGACAATTTTATTACATTTCTAACAGAACAAAACAAACAGACACAAAACAAAATTTGCAAACTTGGTAGTTGATTAAATGTCCTTTGACCAGTATCTGGCCACTTGGAGTGCCTCTGGTGTTGCTGCAAAAAGGTCCTCCATTGTGCGTGTGGCGGGGCTCAGGTTGCATTGCAGCAGGTGGTCTGTGGTTTGCTCTTCTCCACACTCGCATGTCATGGATTCCACTTTGTGGCCCCATTTCTGAAGATTGACTCTGCATCTCGTGATGCCAGAGCGCAGTCTGTTCAGCGCCTTCCAAGTTGCCCAGTCTTCTGTGTGCCCAGGAGAGAGTTTCTCATTTGATATCAGTCATGACTTGAGGTTCTGGTTTTTAGCCTGCCACTTTTGGACTCCCACTTGCTGAGGATATTTATTTATCATGTCAGGGGCAACCAGACGATTGTATTACATTTCTAACAGAACAAAAACAAACAAACAGACACAAAACAAAATTTGCAAGCTTGGTAGTTGATTAAATGTCCTTTGACCAGTGTCTGGCCACTTGGAGTGCCTCTGGTGTTGCTGCAAGGAGGTCCTCCCTTGTGCATGTGGCAGGGCTCAGGTTGCATTGCAGCAGGTGGTCAGTGGTTTGCTCTTCTCCACACTCGCATGTCGTGGATTCCACTTTGTGGCCCCATTTCTTGAGGTTGGCTCTGCATCTCGTGGTGCCAGAGCGCAGTCTGTTCAGCGCCTTCCAAGTTGCCCTTCTGTGTGCCCAGGGGGGAGTCTCTCATTTGGTATCAGCCATTGGTTGAGGTTCTGGGTTTGAGCCTGCCACTTTTGGACTCTTGCTTGCTGGGGTGTTCCAGCGAGTGTCTCTGTAGATCTTAGAAAACTATTTTTGATTTAAGTCGTTGACATGCTGGCTGATACCCAAACAAGGGATGAGCTTGAGATGTCACTGCCTTAGTCCTTTCACTATTGGCTGCTACTTCCCGGCGGATGTCAGGCGGTGCAATGCTGGCCAAACAGCGCAATTTCTCAAGTGGTGTAGGGCGCAGACACCCTGTGATAATGCGGCATGTCTCATTAAGAGCCACATCCACTGTTTTAGCATAGTGAGATGTGTTCCACACTGGGCATGCATACTCAGCAGCAGAGTAGCATAGCGCAAGGGCAGATGTCTTCACTGTGTCTGGTTGTGATCCCCAGGTTGTGCCAGTCAGCTTTCGTATGATATTATTTTTAGCACCCACTTTTTGCTTGATATTCAGGCAGTGCTTCTTGTATGTCAGAGCACGGTCCAGAGTGACTCCCAGGTATTTGGGTGCGCTGCAATGCTCCAGTGGGATTCCTTCCCAGGTGATCCTCAGAGCTCGGGATGCTTGTCTGTTCTTAAGGTGAAAGGCACATGCTGGGTGTTCCTGCAAGTATCTCTGTAGATCTTAGAGTAAGTAAGTAAGTAGATCTTAGAAAACAGCTGTGCTGCGGCAGTCAAACTTTGCTTGGGCAGGGTTGTTGTAGGTTTTTTTCGGTCTATATGGCCATGTTCTAGAGGCATTCTCTCCTGACGTTTCACCTGCATCTATGGCAAGCATCCTCACTACCTCTGAGGATGCTTGCCATAGATGCAGGCGAAACATCAGGAGAGAATGCCTCTAGAACATGGCCATATAGCCCGAAAAAACCTATAACAACCCAGTGATTCCAGCCATGAAAGCCTTCGACAATACATTGCTTGGGCAAATCACTGATTTTAGTCTTCCTGCTCTCAGTACACTTGGCACTGCATAGAATAACATAAGGAACATTTAGGTCCCTACCAGCAAGGACTTTATATTCTAAATGCAGACTGTAAACCATTGGCTGGAAGGGACTTGTGGTTAAACCGCTGTAATGGAATCATTGTGTTCAGAACTCTAATATCAGTGCTTGCCTTTACTTTCTTATTCAAAACAGCCTTTGTGCTGCAGGTAGAGCTGTCTGTTGGATTACTCAAGCCAAAAGTGCAAAAGTAAAAAATAATTATTGGCTTGCACAAAGTGGTTTTAAGGTGGGGTTAAGAGGGGCACACTTCTTCTATGTTGGTCTTTATCTGGGTATGGAGAAAGTAAGATGGGGAAGGCAGCTCTGGAGCAAATTAGGTTTGACAACTCTAGCATTGCAATCCCTGGCTTCCTTAGGGTTGGATGTTGCCTGTGTGTACGAGTCTGGGTGGGAATTCTCCCCGCAAGGAAATCAAATCGCACTGCGGAACTAATTCTCTTGAACCGCCTGCCTGGGAGAGAAGGGCTAGTTGTGCGAAAGGCTAATGGTTTGTTTTGAGAATCCAGGAGACTTAAAAACGAGCGTATCAGATTCTACAAAGCAGGCAAATCTAAACAGTTTTCTCCCTTCTGGCACGTCCCTCTGTGTTGTTTTAGGTGTGAAGTAGTTTGACCGGGGAAGGTCAGCCATAAATCCCTATCATATTTTTACTGGTCCTCTCCCCTCCTCCTCCTTCATCATCATCATCACCATCCTGAAGATGAAAGATTGGGAGGACTGGAAGCCAATCCAGAGATGGTGACACCAGCAGGTTGCCTGAGGTGTTGATATTTTGATAATGTCAAGCTGAATAATAAGGAGGTGATCAAAGTTTGAATTCATGGAAGTGTTGATACCAAAAATAAGAAAGAAAGCAAAAGAGAAAGGAACGCTTGGCTCCTCAACAAATTGCCTGTTTTCTTTGAGCGCCTTTCAGTGTCGGGGGACCGCCCAGGGATTGTGCTTCCCACGTCCACTTCTGTGGATGAAGGGCGCAAAGCCATGGAGAGCATTGGACTGTTTGTTTATTTATTTATTTATTTATTTATTTATTTATTTATTTATTTATTTATCATGTCATCAGCAACCATATCATTGCATTACATTTCTAACATAACAAAACAAACAAACAGATAAAAAAACACAGCTTTTGCAAGCTTGGTAGTTGATTAGATGTCCTTTGACCAGTATCTGGCCACTTGGAATGCCTCTTGTGTTGCTGCAACGAGGTCCTCCATTGTGCATGTGGCAGGGCTCAGGTTGCATTGCAGCAGGTGGTCAGTGGTTTGCTCTTCTTCACGCTCGCATGTCGTGGATTCCACTTTGTAGCCCCATTTCTTGAGGTTGGCTCTGCATCTCGTGGTGCCAGAGCACAGTCTGTTCAGTGCCTTCCAAGTTGCCCAGTCTTCTGTGTGCCCAGGGGGGAGTCTCTCCTTTGGTATCAGCCATTGATTGAGGTTCTGGGTTTGAGCCTGCCACTTTTGGACTCTCGCTTGCTGAGGTGTTCCAGCGAGTGTCTCTGTAGATTTTAGAAAACTATTTCTTGATTTAAGTCGCTGATGTGCTGGCTGATACCCAAACAAGGGATGAGCTGGAGATGTCTCTGCCTTGGTCCTTTCACTATTGGCTGCTACTTCCCGGCGGATGTCAGGTGGTGCAAGGCCGGCTAAACAGTGTAATTTCTCCAGTGGTGTAGGGCGCAGACACCCCGTGATAATACGACATGCCTCAATAAGAGCCACATCCACTGTTTTAGTGTGGTGAGATGTGTTCCACACCGGGCATGCTACCATCCCAACAGGCCAGAGGTGGAGGGGCACATTCTTTGGAGCCTGAATGGGAACCAAATTGAACAGAATGCAGAAACTAAAAAACCGATATGATTCTAGGCCAGCGTTTCTCAACCTGGGGGTCGGGACCCCTGGGGGGTCGCGAGGAGGTGTCAGAGGGGTCACCAAAGACCATCAGAAAAAATAATATTTTGTGTTGGTCCTGGGGGTTCTGTGTGGGAAGTTTGGCCCAATTCTATTGTTGGTGGGGTTCAGAATGCTCTTTGATTGAAGGTCAACTATAAATCCCAGCAACTACAACTCCCAACTGTCAGGGTCTATTTTCTCGAAACTCCACCAGTATTCACATTCGGGCATATTGAGTATTCATGCCAAGTTTGTTCCAGATCATCATTGTTTGAGCCCACATTGCTCTCTGGATGTAGGTGAACTACAACTCCCAAACTCAAGATCAATGCCCACCAACCCTTCCAGTATTTTCTGTTCGTCATGAGAGTTGTGTGTTCCAAGACTGGTTCAATTCCATCATTGGTGGAGTTCAGAATGCTTTTTGATTGTAGGTCAACTATAAATCCCAGCAACTACAACTCCCAAATGAATCCCCCCAAGGCCACCAGTATTCAAATTTGGGGGGTATAGGATATTTGTGCCAAATTTGATGCAGTAAATGAAAATACATCCTGCATATCAGATATTTACATTATGATTAATAAAAGTAGCAAAATTACAGTTATGAAGTAGTAACAAAAATAATTTTATGGTTGGGCATCACCACAACATAAGAAACTGTATTCAGGGGTTGCGACATGAGGAAGGTTGAGAAACACTGTTCTAGGCTTTTTTTTTCCGTGTCAGGAGTGACTTGAGAAATTGCAAGTTGCTTCTCGTGTGAGAGAATTGGCTGTCTGCAAGGACGGTACCCAGGGGACACTCGGATGTGTTACCATCTTGTGAGAGGTTTCTCTCATGTTCCTGCATGAGAAGCTGGAGCTAACAGATGGGTGCTCACTCCACTTCCTGGATTCGAACCGCCAACCTATTGGTCAGCAGGCCTGCTGGCACAGGGGTTTAACCCATTGCACCCCTGGGGGATCTAGGATGTATCTATAGGAGTATAGTTTGAGGAAAGTTATAGTTCCATTTAAAAAAAGCCAATGGGATTTTGGCCTGCATCAATAGGAGCCTAGTGTCTAGATCTAGGGAAGTGATGCTTCCCATGCTCTATTCTGTCTTGTTTAGACCACACCTGGAATATTGTGTCCAATTCTGGGCACCACAATTCAAGAGAGATATTGACAAGCTGGAATGTGTCCAGAGGAGGGCGACTAAAACGATCAAGGGTCTGGAGAACAAGCCCTGTGAG